TTCTGACCGATAGTGACCCTGAACAGGGTTTCCAAGGCTGTAAATCTTTACGGGAGCAGAAAGCCTCATCTTTCTCCCGCGGAGCAGCTAGTAGTTTCGAATTGCTGACCTTGAGGTTCACAGCCCAATTCATAACCACTATGCTACCACAACTCCTTGACCTTGTGGATAGGCCTCTGTAATTCCCCCTATCACAACTGATCAGAGGGTACAGAGCTGTAACTTTTCTCTTCAGCTTTTCAATTGGGAATAATTTCAAACTTTACAGAAGAGTTGCAAGGAGTGAATAGCACAAAGAACATTCTTGTACCCTTTACTCAGGCTTACTTGTTTATTCCAGTTGTAAGGCTTACCTTTTGATAAAACATTTGCTATTCCATAAGACTTAGAGAAAATAAGGTTACAATATTAGAAGTCTAACATTTGACTGCTATTAGAAATGGCTTTTCTCAATTCACATTTAACTCTCACCTCTCTGCCCATTGCAGCTCCATCATACTGGTTTGCATTACAGACCTATTTGAGTTCTGCTGTCATGCTCAATTCAATATCTTGTCTTTAGAAAGAGAACTTTTTCTGTTAATTCCTGTTCCTCTATAAGGCCTACTTCCTGTCTAAACTCACATGATCCCAGTGCATTCCCTTCAGGAAAAAGCCAGCTTGCTTTCACACACAGGCAAGAGCCAGATCATTAGGGAAGTGGTCTTGCACATTCCTCAGTGGGCCCTCATCAGTCTTGAGTAAAAGAAATCAGGCTTATATGACTATATTCCATGGTATATTTCCGGTTCCCACTCTCCTGTGCGCACACAATGCACGCACACAAACACACATACACACGCACACACACAAACCTCTTCTAAGTGCAAGCAAAAATTTTGAGGCATACAATCTAAGCCTCCCTATAGGGGAAAAAATGTAACTTAATCTACAAGAATAAGTACATGGTTCTAAGAAAACATACACCCACTTAACAGTAATAACTAGAAGATGAAGTGTCAGTTTGAAGTTTCCCTGTTTGGGTTTCTTTACTTCATTTAGAACCTCACTAAGACTTTGAATCTGCATACCTACAGGGAACATTCAAAGGTGTCTCTTTCATAATAAATAGGCATCCTATTCCAAAGACAGATCCATATCTCCAAAAGGTGGAAACTGACTGTAACTTTTAAACTGGGAAAATTTACCAGTTTCAAAAAAATTCTCACACAGCATCACTTTTGGCAATGCATATACATGAAAATTTTTATATAAAAGCAATGAAAACATTAAAAAAATAGGATCATTGTTTCATTGCTCTTAATAATTTTATGGCATAAAGCATTTAGAAAACCTAAAATCATTCTCATAAATAAAATGCTCATTTGCTATTTTTGTGTAGCTACCTAAGACAGTTGTACTGTTATTGAGACAAGGCTTTGTTTAGTTCTTCCTCAGTGATTTAGCTTTAATTATGGTGAAACTCTGGAGGGTTCCACTTTAACAAATTCCACTGTAGTTAGTGTCAAGGGCTTTCAACTACCTACTGAGCATAGCTATTTTTGTATACCTAAACTACTTGAAGTGTGTTATTGCTGTTATAATGGAATATTATACAATTTTAAAAATTATTCTCAGTATACTGAAACCTATAGTCCTGTTGTGGCTCTGTGGGTTAAAGCGCTGGACTGCAAGGTGGGTTTGAACCGCTAAGTGGATGATGGTTCAAGCTTACCATCCACCTCTTGGAAACCCTGTACAGGGTCACTATGAGTTGGAACCAACTTGATGGCACTTAATAACAACAACATACTGAAACCTAAGTTTATGTTTTAAAAGTTTTTTTCTGGGGAGAATCAGTCCAAGACAACTATCTTCCTGTTTATAAATTTTGCCTGGAACTCAGCTAACCTAAACTGTGTATCATTTCTTTCCTTAATGGGAGCATAAGATTATTCTAAAAGATATTTATTTTGTGTTTTGGAACTGTGATTAGTTTGCATTTATCCCGTCAAACTTTATTTTCTACTTGATAATGGCCAAAGAAGGAACACATACCCAAGAGATAATGCTAACAATTAAATGCTTTGCTTTGTGCTGGTAAATACCTTTATAATTTCAAGAAGTCACCTGTAGTCATTTAACTACATGATCTTTTAACTTAAGGGGTTCTAAATGGAGATTTGGAATTGTGAGCTAGAAAAGATAAAAATTGATTGTGGTTAAGTGCCATGAAGTCAATTCCAACTCATAACAACTCTGTATAGATTTTCCAAGAACCCAGGTAGCATAGTGGGTTACAAGTTGGGCTGCTTAACCATAAGGTCAGCAGTTTGAATCTACCATCTAGTCCATGGGAGAAAAATGAGGCTTTCTGCTCCTGTAAACAGTTATAGCCTGAGAAACCCTATACAGGATCTCTATGAGTGGAAGCACAGTGCTGTCACCACCAACAACATAGGGTTTCAACTGCTGACCTCGAGTTTAGCAGTCCAATACTTATGCTATAACACCACAAAGACTCAAAAAAACTGATTAGACTTATTTCTTAGGTGAATTCTCTAAAGACATAGGATATGGTCTCCTGCTGTTAGATTCTTAAATTCATTTTTTTCAGGGATTCCAAGGAGACTAGATTTTGAGATTTTTTTCACTCTAGTTAAGCTCTAGGCAAATCTTTCATATAAAACACAATGTCACTTGGCTACCCAAAATGAGGGGGCTACAAAAGCAAGAAGTGACTGGCTTACAAGCTTTCAAGAGGGAGCCTAGATTCAGAGGCCATGAAGGAAGGTAGAATCTCCACAGAGTAGTATTCAATCTGTCTAGGCAGGGCTGATGAAATGAAATGTGGATGGGTCTCTGTGATACAATAGTGAATAATTGTTATCAGTACTGACTGTGAAGGTTGGAAATGTAAAGGCAGACATTTTGTAGCAAAGAGGGGAGTGATTAACTTTTTAGCCTAGGAGTGGAGGTCCCTGGGACCATCAAGGGAGGAGAGTGGAGAGCGGGACCCTACCCAGAGAAGCAGTGATGCCTGAGATGGAGGCAGAGATGATGACGTGGAGAGATGGAGCAGTTGGGGACTTTAGACACAGAGAGGGAGAGGGGCTGTGTGCTGATGACCGGGGGCAGGCTTGAGGTGTATACCCTTTGGTTGGTTGATGATGCATGGAGGGGATTATAACCATAGCAATGAAACGATATACGATAGGATGAGTGTAAAACTAATGTTCTCCCATGTAAACTATCACATAATTCACAATAAAACATTAAAACACACACACACACACACACACACACACAATGTCACTTTGCAGTCCAGGAATGGAAGTCCCTGGGACCATCAAGGGAGAAGAGTGGAGTGTGGGACCCTACCCAGAGAAACAGTGACACCAGAGATGGAGGCAGAGATGACGTGGAGAGATGGAACGGCTGGGAACTTTAGACACAGAGAAGGAGAGGGGCTGTGTTCCTATGACCGGGGGCCAGGCTTGCAGAGTATACCCACAGTTGGTTGATGATGCATGGAAGGGATTGTAACCATGGCAATGAAACGATACATGATAGGAATGACTGTAAAGCTAATGTTCTCCCATGTAAACTATCATATAATTCACAATAAAACATTTAAAAAAACCCACAGTGTCATTTATTAATGTATATTGGTGATTTGACTATAGAGGCAGGCTGTACCCCTCCAGCAATATGGTTCTGATGTCAGGATAGACCACAGCTTAGGATAGCTGAGTTCTAGATATAATTTGTAAAAAAGAAGATGATTTTATGGGACTATTTCTCTGGTGTGGAGCTGTAGAAAAAGCACTGGACTGCTAACCACAAGGTTGGTGCTTCAAACCCACCAGTTGCTCCTCTGGAAACCCTGTACAGGATTGGTATGAGTTGGAACCGAGATGACAGCACTGATCAACAACACTTCTAAGAAACTTAAAAAACATGTACTTAGCTTTCAGTATTTTGACAAGAATTTAAAAACACATGCACCAAGGGAATGAAAAGGTTTATTATGTACTTGGTGAGACTTTCTGGGAAGAGTAGGGCAGGCAGGCAGGTCCAAATATGGTTTGAGAGAGCAGAGAAAGGAGATTGGTTTGGTTTTATTGTAATTTGTGTTGGTGCTAGCCAGAGGGTTCTCATTGTTCAGGTAGGGTTTGAATGGTGTGAAATCTCCACCATTGTCAAAGGAGGTCACACTGAGGCTTTCCTCTCAAGTTGACCAGACTTTGGACAGAGGGGCAGGAGAAAGATGTGGCCTGAAAACTATCAGCAGTCAAACAGCGAAAGTAGAGTCACACTCTGTATTGTAGTCTTTCCTTCTGTTTTTTGCCTTTCTAGTCAACACATCATCTTCTTAGATTAATCCTTCCATGAATCAGACTTAAGATTTCTTGGTTTAGAAACCATTCTGTCTTTTTTTAACGATGTCTGTGTATTTCATAATGGATCCTTAGTGTTTTGAATTTAACATTTTGGTTCTGTCACAGAAATTATTGATGATACTCATATACCTTTATAAAATTAATGTCTATGAAACTGGTGGTGGTTATGTACCATAGAGTTGGTTGGTCACTATGAGTCAGAATTGACTCAATAGCACTTAGCAACAACAACAATATTTAAAATTAAGGATCATTTTGCCTCTTTAAGTCTAATCACAAATGGTTTGGAAATAATATAACATGCTTTTGATAGCAAGCATTTTATGAACATAATCCAGTTGATTTTACTATATATATTGTAAAATTATCTTGCTAATGTTGAACCACCGAACTTGCAATCCAGTGCTTATCCTGCAGTACCACACCAGGACGCCAACTTGTGAATTGTTGTTAGGTGCCATTGAGTTGGAACCGACTCATAGCGACCTCATGCACAGCAGAACGAAACATTGCCCAATCCTGGGTCAACCTCACTATCGTTGCCACGAATAGTACCCTTAAATAATAAATTTTTTCTTTCAAAATATTCTGGCCTTTCTTTTTGTTTTGTTTCTTTAGATGGGTCTAGGAAAGACCATCCAGGCAATTGCAATTGCTTACTTTTATAAAGCAGAATGGCCTCTTTTAATAGTGGTCCCTTCATCTCTGAGGTACCCTTGGACAGAAGAAATAGAGAAATGGATTCCAGAACTAGGTCCAGAAGAAATCCATGTTATCCAGAATAAGACTGATGTTGGGTAAGAACATACGTTTAATACTAAATTAAAAGTCTTCGTGTACTTGTATATATTTAATTCATACCTGTATTTTAATATCCTCAACAGATCATAATATAATGTTAAGAAATAGAGTGGAGACTTTTATTTTGCCATTTTTAATATGGATTATTTTTAAAGAAATTTAATCTGAAATGCAAATTATTCCATTTAATAACTTTCCTCACAATGGATTTTTAAAGCAAAGAGAAAGTCTTATACTTTTAGAGATGTATGTAACATGTTTACTTTTTTTCTTCCTTAAATATACTTAGAAACTGACTATTTTATCATTTAAAAATAAATATGGTTTAGTCAATAAATACATTAATTTGAAATTCTGTTAACCTCTATATCAGCAATGTTGGTTGATTGTACTTTCCAAGTATTAGTTAATATAGGTTTAGAACTTTTATGAATGACTAAAAAGCAATATTAGCAAGGATGGTTCTCTTATTATGTTCATTTTCATTTAAGTATTTTATATTTTGAAAATATTTGTTACTATTTGAGTGTTTCACTCCAAAAAGAAGTTACAAGATGACAAGTGTTTTTCTTCATTTTATTTTCTAGCCATTGGAATGAGTCCATCAGTTTTAATATTGATAAGTTGTTAACTTTGAGTATTGAACTGAATCATGAAAATTATTGTGTTTTTAGGGATTCAATATTATTAATTTCTGAGCCTGGTGTGGTGCTATGGGTTAATTGTTGTACCACAAAGTCAGTTTGAACCAGCTGTTCCTTGGAAATCCTATACAGGGTCAATATGGGTTGGAACCAACTCAACAGCAGTTAACAACAATAGTAGCTTAGTGTAGTCCTGATACTGCACTGTGGATTAATGCACTGGACTGCAAGGTTAATGGTTCATGCTCACCAATCACTCCTTGGAAACCCTATACGATGTCGCTATGAGTCAGAACCAACTTGATGGCACTTAACATCAACAACAACAGTTGCATATCCTGGTGTGGTACTGTGGGTTAATATACTGGACCGCAAAGTCTTTGTGAATTGCTAAGTCATCGTTTTAAACCCACCTGCTGCTCCTTGGAAACCCTGGACAGGGTCACTATGAGATGGAATGGACTCGATGGCACTTAACAACAACAAACACCTGCTAGAGAAAGATGAGGCTTTTTCTTCCTATAAAGATTCACAGTCTCGGAAACCCTATACAGCATTGCTATTAGTCTGAAACAATTTGAAGGCACACTACCACCATGACCATACCTTGTTTAAGGAGACCTGGTGGCACTGAACTGCTAACCACAAGCTTGGCAGTTCAAACCCACCAGCTGCTCCTAAGGAAAGATGAGGCTTTCTGCTCCTATAAAGATTTACAGCCTTAGAAAGCCTATACATTCTACATCGTTGCTATGAGTCTGAATCTTTTTGATGGCAGTGGGTGTGGTGTCAATGTTTACATTGAAATTTTCCTAAAATATTTCCTCACTAATTTTTTAATAACATCTAGGTCATATGATTTACATTATTCTTTTGGAAATGCATTCTTGTAAGTAGTGGCAAATACTCTTATTTGGGTAAAATGTAAAGAATCTAGAAGCCACTATAGCCCCAGAGAATAGTTTTCCTGGAGAATATCAGCTAAGGGCAGTAAAACATACCTGCTATAATCCAGGGAGTTGAAGTACCGCATCAGGTCTATACAAATGTTTATCAATGTGAGCATACCACAAATACATATGCCCCCTCCAGTGTATGTCATACATGCTGAAACTACTTACTAGTCAGTAGGTGGCAGGATGGAGCCCTGGTGTGGCACCATAGGATAAAGCCAGGTCAGTTTTAACATCGAGGTTGTTAGTTCAAATCTACCAGCTGCTTCTTGGAAACCCTATACAGGGTCACCGTGTGTCGGAACCGACTCTACAGCACTTAAAAACAACAAAAGTAGGTGGCATAGTAGATGCTGCACAGACTACTGCAGCAGCCTTCAAAGCCTTTTTCTTTTACTGTTAATGAATAATACTAACTCTACTCTTCTTCTACAGCCTATCTAATTTTTTATTTACTACAATGAGAAAATCATAACACTCTGAATGAAGTAGATTAATCAAAGACTTAAAATATACTTGCTGTGCTTTTTCCTTGCAAGTTGTGAACTGTAAAAGACTGACTCTGCACTCTGTTTCCACTGGCGATAGAGAAAATGCAAAAGTGACTCTATTTTAATATTAATGTATTTATTTGTCTAATTATTTCATTCTACAAATTTATTAGCACTATGTATACAAAGATGAGTAAGAGACATTTCCCTGCTCTCACCCGTGTCATGATATTGTAAGGGAGAGACGTATGTGAAAGGATAATTTGATGTATGAATTATAGTCTAAAATGTCAGGGATCACTCTACCCATGGTGGTACCCTTTCCCTTCTTCTCACACCCCATCAGCTCAAGGCCAGGGACATTTTTGTTGTCACAATGACTGTGGGACTCTGTTGGCCTTTAGTAGGTGGGACCAGGAATGTAAAATGCCCTGCAGTGTGCTGAACTGCCCTACATTACCAAGAATTGTTCTGCTCAAAATACCAGTAGTACCATGGTCAAGAAATCCTCCCAGCATAAGGTTTGGCGAAGGCTTTATTGAAGAGTTGACAGTACTTGAGTATCCACTTTTTGCAGGAGACTATGTGCATGGAATGAGTATTCTCAGAGAATAATGCTCTTGTCTTAGTAAAATGTGGCTTGCCTGATATAAAAATCTTCCAAAGACCATTTAATCAAAAATTTGGTTTTTGTTAACCTAAATTTTGAATTATGGTTCTATCATGTTTTTGAGGACTGTAAAACCTTAAAAAGAAATTGAGTTTCAATAGTAATGTTATCAGCGGACTCTGATGATGCCATGGTTAAAGTACTCGACTGCTAACCAATAGATTGGTGGTTCGAGCCCACCAACCACTCTGCGGGAGGAAGGTGTGACCATCTGCTTCCCTAGAGATTTACAGCCTTGGGAGCCCTGTGGAGCCATTCTGTCCTGTTGTATAAGATCACTGTGAGTTGGAATTGATTAGATGGCAGTGGAGTTGAGTTTGCTTTAGTAATACCATCTTCTCTTATTTTCTCATTTTTCTTCCTCCTCTCCATTTATTCACAACAGAATTATATTGTTTATGATACATTGTTTACTGAAATATTTGAAAAGTATGTGGATTTTCTTTTCTAGGAGAATATCGACTAGCAAAGTGGCAGTTCTGGGTTACGGTCTTTTAACTACAGACGCAGTGACTTTGATACATGCACTAGATAATCAGAACTTCAAAGTGGTCATAGTGGATGAATCACACTACATGAAGTCCAGAAATGCATCCCGCAGCAAGATTTTATTACCATTAGTTCAGAAAGCGAAACGAGCCATTCTTCTTACAGGAACTCCAGCTTTGGGAAGGCCTGAAGAGGTATTTAAATCCTTACCAAATAACAGAAGAAGCCAGGGAAGTTTTTTGTATCAGCTGTTAATTAAATGGGAGTGCTGTGACTCTGCAAGATAAACACTGGACTGCTAACTACAAGGTCAGAGGTTCAACGTCCCCAGCATCTCCTCATGAGAAAGATGAACCTTCGAACCCATAAACAGGGTCTCTATGAGTCAGTATCAACTCAGCGGCACTTAACAACAACAACAGCAGTTAATTAAATATCTCTTCTTCTATGACTTTTCTTATTTACTCACTTTTAAGCCCTTAGGCATGCTTTGAGATATACATAAAAATATATACCTTATTATAAGATTTTCATATTTAGTATAAATTTGCAATATTTTTCATATTTGTGTTCCCTTTTGCTCAACTTTATCCTTCCTATTTTATATTTGTAAATCCCTCAGGATTGGGGTGAAATCTACTGTATTTCTTTTATACTGTACCTGGTGTGGCGGTGCAGGGTCGTGTGCTAGACTGCAAGGTTGGTTTGAACCACAAGGTCGGTGGTTCATGCTCACCAGCCACTCCTCGGAAACCCTATACAGAGTTGCTATGATTCGGAACCAACTCCACGACACTTAACAACAACACCACAGAGCTTCTCTTTGTTCTCCTACATTTCTAGATCTATGTTTGGGGAGATGTGGTGGAACTAGGGCTTGTGAACAAAGCAGCTAAGAATATTTTCTTTGAATGATTTCCCACTTAGCTTTTATTACTCTTAAGAGGAGATGGGTAGGTTGTAGAAAAGGAGAAATCATGAATGAATTTGTAAGTATAAATGCTTCCTTCTTGTTGTTAAGTACCGTGGAGTCAATTCCGACTTATAGTGACCCTGTACAGGCTTTCCGAGGCTGTGAATCTTTATGGGATCAGAAAGCCTCATTTTTCTCCCATGGAATAGCTGGTAGTTTCGAACTGCCGACCTTGAGGTTAGTAGCCCAATTCATAACCACTACACTACCAGAGCTCCTCTAAGTGCTTCCTAGGGAGGTCCTATCTACTAGTAAACACTGAGTTATGGACAATGCATGGACTTACTGTCTTGTAGGGGAATTATAGGGAGTTGTGAGAAAATGAAAGGCCGTATGTTAGCACTGTATCCTGGCATATAGTAACTGCTCCATATCTGGCAGACATTGTTATTATTATAAGCACAGAAAATGTTTAGGTGTACACGTTTAGACATACCTGTATTTTAAAGAAATGTATAGCAATTATTCCTGAAAAATAGGATGACAGCAATTGGAGGTGAAGGGACAGGAGGGGCATTGAGGAAGAAGAGGTAGATTTTCAGTTTTACTTTTTACTATTTTACTAACTAGTTTTCTCAAAGTAATAATAGTTTATTTGAAAATATCACAACATATTAATATGTTTATTTGAAAATATCACAACATAACATGTTTCATTATAGCTCTTCATGCAGATCGAAGCTCTCTTCCCGCAAAAATTTGGAACATGGACCGAGTATTCCAAAAGATACTGTAATGCACATGTCAGGTAAGACAACCTATTTTCTATATGCTTGTATATTAGTCATTCTGAAGTCCAGTACTTTTCAGATTTGTGTTAGCTGTGGAATAATTTCTTGAAATAAATTATTATATGAATAATCTTTACAGAAAATAAATAAAGGAATAGATGGTGACAAAGTTTTTGTCCACTTACTTGATTTTTGAAATTATTACATTGATTTTTATTGATTAGATAAAATGCGCATTGGACAAAAGTGCAAGGAAGTATGTCTTCCATCTCTGTCTCCCAGCCAACTGTTTCCCTTCCCTGGTAACCAGTTTTGGTAGTTTGTTTTGTATCAATCTAGAGATACTCTGTGCTTGAAGGAGTGAGTACCTGGGATTATGTGGTTGCTGTTATTAGGTGTCATTGAGTCGATTCCGTTTCATCGTGACTTTGTATAGAGTTTCCAAGTTTGCAAATCTTTACAGGAGCAGAAAGCTGCATCTTTCTCCCAGCGCTCCTCATATGTGATTATATACACGTAATATTGCTTTATCTTATTTGTACGCATATAGTAACATAATCTATACATTCAGCAGTTTGCTTTATCCACCTAATATATGTGGGAGATCCTTCATATCATTAAAGAGCTTAGACCTTCTTTTTAAATGCTGCATAGTATTTCACTTTATGGGTATACTATCGATGTGATTTATTAATAGATGTTTATAGAATATAGTTATTGCATACAGTTGAGCAATAAACATCCTTGCACATGTTAAAAGGTAGTATATTGGAATGATTTAATGACATGGGAATCTAGAGCTAAACCACCTGTGTTTTTCCACATTCTCTACTTCTTAGCAGATCAGTTGTTTAAGGCAAATAACACTACCTCTCCATGTCTTAAATTTCTTTAGTTCTGAAATCAGAGAGTAATTTTGCCTGTGACAGAGAGCACTCATTATTAGCTATTTTAATATTTTGTGACATGCACATGGGAATAAATCTGTTAAATAAACTTTCAATTGTGAAATTGCTGGGTAAAAAGTCATATTTTATAAATTTTCTCAAATCATGCTCCACAGGAGGTATACCAATTTATATTCCTACCAGCAGTGTATAAAATCCTGGTTTCCCCACCCCTTGCCAGTGTTGGAATATAACCAATTTTATTTCTGGTACCTGCTTGTTTTAATACACATGTTGATCTTACTGTGTTATTAAAGGCAGTTGAGCATTTTTCATACGTTGTAAAGCTATTTTCATTTCCTTTTCTGTCAATTATCTATTTATCTTCTTTGGTCTGCTTTCTATTAAGTTTGTTGCCCTTTTTCTTATTGACATATTGGAAATGTTTGCATGTTATGGATGCTAGATATTTGTCTATGATATGAATTACTTATATTTTTTCCTGATCTGTTTTTCATTTTTCCTTTTTTAATAATTTCCTCAAGTGACCCCCAGGTAGTCAGGGTATTTCATTTTTTTTAAGGGGCTCAAAGTACTGAGATACAAATAATTCTTCCAAATTGTATGTATGAAGTTAGTCTAATACTGATACCAAAATCAAACATGATAGTGCCAAGAGAGAAAACCGAAGACCACCCACTTCTATTATTACAGAAGTTGTCAGTATTATCAAATGTTGTTCTTTTTAGGTGCTGTTGAGTCTGTTCCAACTTATAGTGACCCTCTGCACACAGAATGAAACACTGCCCAGTTCTGTGCCATCTTCACAATTGTTTTAGGTTTGAGCCCATTGTTGCTGCCAATGTGTCAGTCCATCGTGTTGGGGGGTCTTCCTCTATTCACTGACCCTCCGCTTCACTAAGCATGATATCCTTCTCTAGGAACTGATCCCTCCTGACCACATGTCCAAAGAACAAGAGATGGAATCTCACCATCCTTGCTTCTAAGGAGCATTTTGGCAGATTTGTTTTTTTTTTTTCTCAAAGTCAGTCCATAGTATTTTCAATATTCTTCTCCATTGTCCAACTAAAGTATGCGTATGTTTTCAAGTACACTCAGCAACTCATACAAAGATATCATTCATATGCTTTTTTTTTTTTTTGTGAACAGAATTCTTATTAGTAATGTAAACAAGGTTTAATATTAGGAAATATATTTTGTTGTTATTGTTAGCTGTTGTCAAGTTGATCCTTGCTCATGACAACCACGTGCCAGAATGAATAGCTGTTTAGTCCTGTGTCATTCCTACAAATAGTTGCAGATCACACGGTTGTGATCCACAGGGGGTTTATTAAGCTAGTTTTTGAAAGTAGATTACCAGACCTTTTCCTATTCTCTCTTAGTCTAAAAGTTCTGCTGAACCCTGTTCAACATCATAGCAACATGCTAGCCCCCACTGGCAGATGGGTAATGGCTGCACTAGTCACTAGCAGTAGTCAGGAATCGAACATAGATTTCCCACATGAAACATGAGAATTCTCCCACTGAACCAGCACTGCCCCACAGTATTATAATAGCCATGAGTATTCCTTTTCTAGGACTGCTCTAACAAATTACCAGAAACTGGATAGCTTAAAACATGGAAATTTGTTTTCTTACTGTTCAGGAGGTCTAGAATTGAAGTTTTGGTGTTTCTCTGAAGGTTCTGTGTGACAATTCTTCCTTGCCTCTTCTAGCTTCTTGTGGTTGCAGTCCTTGAAATTCTTTGCTTTGCAGCTATGTCACTTCAATATCTGTCATTCCTTTATGGCCATCTTTCTTCTGTGCCTGTGTCTTCCCATAAGGATACCAGTTATGGAATTAGGGCCCAACCTTATTCATTAAGAATTCACCTTAAATACTTGCATGTGTTCCAGGTACAGTCACATTCTGAAGTTCCAAGTAGACACGGATTTTTGGAGAACATTATTCAACTCAGTAAACTAAGATAACAATGCATGTTGTTGTTGTTGTTGTTGTTGTTAAGTGCCATTGAGTCAGTTCCCACTCAGAGCGACCCTGTCTGATCAGTTGATGGGTTTGAACTGCCATCTTTGTGTTCACAAGTGCAGTGCTGATCCTATAGCTCCACACCAGGAGTCTGTAATTTGTTGTTGTTATGTGCTGTGCAGTCAGTTCCAACTCATAGCGACTCTGTACAGGGTTTCCGAGGCTGTAAATCTTTATGGGAGTAGAAAGCCTCATTTTTCGCCCGCGGAACAGCTGGTAATTTCGAACTGCTGACCATGAGGTTAGCAAGCCATTCGTAACCACTATGCTACCAGAGCTCCTTAGGAGTCTGTATAGGTTTTAACAAATTTAGGGTTTATCCATATGAAGGGACATCAAAAAGTACATGGAAAAGTGTAATTTTTCCATAAGCTTTTTGAAACTCCCTTTATATGTGTGTATATTGTACGTATTCAAGTATAAAGTAAATGCTAAAACTTGTTTTTCTATACACAGATACTGGTTTTAAAATATAATGAAGAAAAAATGCTATTTATAATTACAACAGAAATATACCACTGAAGAGTAAACTCAGTAAAACTCAGTTTGAGGACTAAGGTGTGCCTGATGCAAGCCATGGTTTTTTCAATAACTTCATATGCATGTGAAAATTGGATAATGAATAAGGATGACCGGAACTGATACAGTTGAGTCATAGTGTTGGAGGAGAATATTGAAAGTACCATGGACTGCCCAAAGAACGAATAGATCTGTGTTAGATGATGTACAGCCAGAGGGCTTCTTAGAAACCAGGATGGCCAGACATGATCTTTCATACTTTGGACATATTGTCAGGAGGGACCAGTCACTGGAGAAGGATATCATGTTTGTTCAAATGGAGGGTTGTAGAAAAAGAGGAAGACCCCTAAAGACATGGATTGGCACACAGTGGCAGCATCAATGACTGGGCACAAACCTAGCAACGACTGTGAGGTTGGCCCAGGATCGGGCAGTGTTGTATATAAGGTCGCTATGTGTCAGTACCAACTCGATGGCACCTATCAACAACAAATATGGACTATGGAGTCCTGGTGTGGTGCTGTAACATAAACAGTCAGCCTTAAGGTCAGTTTGAACTGCAAGGTTAGTGGTTCAAACTCACCAGCCACTCTTCAAAAACCCTATACCAGGTCGCTGTGAGTCAGAACCGACTTGGCAGCACTTTAAAACAACATATGGACTATACAGCACTTAAAACCAACAGCAACAAATATGGAGTCTTAGTGTGACCCACTGTAGAAAAAGCACTGGACTGTTGCTTGATAGGTTGGTGGTTCAAACCCACCATCCACTTGTAGGAAACACTATACAGGGTCATTATGAGTCAGAACCGATTTGATAGCACTTAGCAACAACATTAAGTGGAAAAAATTTAAAAATACTACTGAAGGGCATAAAAGAAGAAAAAAGAAACAAAAAGGCATATGCTTTCTTTCACTGATAAGATTTGGTATTATAAAGATTTCACTTTTGCTTAAATTTATCAATGGATGTAATGCATCTCATAAAGTGAAAAGATTTTTCTCTTAAAATCAGAAAATTGATCCTAAATATCATAACAAATAAATACACAGGCAAGAATTTTTTAAGAAAATTTTTAATAATAGAGTATTTTAAAGAGTGAAATGGATTGTCTCCCTTCTCCTTATACTAAATTAAGTTCTAGATTAAGTATTTAAACATTAAATAAAACCATAAGTAAAAAAGGAATTCTTCTATAACTTTGGTCTGGGAAGACCATAAAAAGGATACAGTTGAGTGTATAAAAGTTGGCTTATATATAATGTTATTTATTTTTTTGTTGTTCATAATATGAGGATACACAGTAAAACATACACCCATTCAAACATTTTACACGAACTATTTATTAGCGTCGATTGTAGTCTTCATGCTGTGCAACCGTTGAGTTACTGCCTCCTAACCTTTCTATCTAATCTTTTTAGTTGCTGTTGTCAATTTGATCTCACATAGATAGTTTTTAAAAGCGCATAATACTCATGGTAGATATTTGTTACTAGTTAAGCTAAACTAGTGATTGGTTTTAAGAAGATTTAAAGGATATTTTTGTTTTAAGGCTTAAA